TAAAATTTTCAATAAAAATCTATCTAAATCTATCTAAATCTAAATGAATGAAGTATACAAAAAAGTCTTTAATCCTGAACAAAAGCTAGGTTTAGGGTTAAATAGGGGAATGCTGTAAAACATTGCCCAATGACTCCAATGGTTTGTGCATAATAGTGCTGTCGGGGTGCAACATCCGAATTCCGATCATTTGCTTTCATTTTCAGCACGGTTATAGTATTACCTCTTTTTAACCCTAACCCTGAATGACATGAGTGTATGCTGGAAATTGACGTAGTGATAATATAAAAAGGTAAAGAAGTTATCGTCCAAGAGAACAACAGATCCGGACCTGGTTCACGACGCCCGAAAGGACAAAGGTAGACCCAGAAATGATAGGTGTTCTCAAGGAGGAGTATGTTCTGTTGGCTGAAAAACAAAGCTTAACCGCAGAAGATCGTAACGAAAAAGCTACTGCAGAAATTGTAAACTTTGATATATTTTAGTGCCTTGGCGGGTATTGTCCGCCTTTTCACCTTGGGACTCATGGTGCCGCGAAATCGTGGCCCCTATCGTTGTTCGACTAAAATCGTCTGGAGCAAATTATTGTTACGTTATAGCAGGCATTTTGACTTAGAGGCGTTCAGTCATAACCCAACAGATGGTACCTTTTCAGTCAAGTGCAAATGCCAATTGTCTGAATCTGCTTTACTGGGCAGAATTACTATTGCAACAACACTTCATCAGTAGGGTAAAACTAACCTGCCTCACGACGGTCTAAATCCAGCTCACGTTTCCTATTAGTGGGTGAACAAAGCATAAAATACGACGAGCTTAAAAAGCCGTCACTTCAATTATGATATCTACATTCAGTTAAACTAAATGCGTGCAGCTCGTCAAATAGACGAGGGCTGACCCGTTGCCGAATCAGGACCACTAATGAGAGACAGCATAGCTAAGATCGTCGCGCCGTTCGAACATGTCAGCCTTACCGTCCAGACTAACCATCTGTTCACTGTTGTGCGTGTTGGATTGTGGGGGTTTACATCAGCACGTCTCAAAGTGGCAGATCGTGTTTTGCGCGTCTTGAGGATCGTACTATGAATTCCGGAAGTGGTTGATTCACCCCGTTGTCCATTTCCGACTTTAGTCGAGCCAGCTGGTGAAGGCAAGAAGAACCTTACCTCTAGGAAGGGGTGACCTATGTTGCAAAGCAGATGAGAAGTGGTCTCCTTTCTTTCACTGACTGTTCCTCGGAGGTTGAGCCAGTAAAATGACCTTAACTCATTAGGGTCTAGGCACCGCATTAATCAGGTCTGTCTTACCATATATCAAACCGTAGCCGAGGGTTGGAGGCATATGGAGTGAAGGACCATGACATCACCCAATCTGCATTTAGCGGGTAAACCTTCTTGGGAGGGTCTACCCCTACATCTATTTTATAGTTAAAGAAGAATACTCCGTCCGGATCTCGGTCTATATCACAAGCATGTCTGTGAGCCTCTATCCGTGCCCAGAATATCTCAGTAACTCTCGGGTCTTTATTTTGAAGCCATCTAAACATGTTGCATATTAGTAATTGCTCGAATACTACGCACAGACTTTTTATGCGCAGTCCACGGAGTCTGGTAGGTGCTTGAAGCATTGCTACAGGAGACAACATAGAGACTCATCGTCAACATAGCTCGGCTATGGGGGTCACGGCAAAAGACTGCGCGTGATCTAAACTGTTGATGGTAAGGTATTGTATTATATTGAGAGGGAGACTGACAAGAAATATAAAGAAATAGCTTTTCTAAGTCTTCTAATTGGATTGAGCACGACCGAAAATCTTTAAAGAGGATCCATTGGAGGGCAAGTCTGGATTTTGGGTTCACACGGCACGAGACTGCCTGTGATCTTAACTGATGATGGTAAGGTATTGCATGGTATAGAGATGGAGCCTGACAAAAGAGCAAGAACTTAAATCCTTTAACGATGATCCATTTTACTTATTGGATGAAGTGAAGGCGAACCGCAAGGTTCACGTTCTGGATTTAAGGTCTTTCTTTTGCAGACCAATCCTAAGTTTGGCGGGTGCGGGACATCTGTTAAATGTTAACGGCAGGTTTAATAATGTGAGCTCAATGAGAACAGAAATCTCATGTGTAGAACAAAAGGGTAAAAGCGCACTTGATTTTGATTTTCAGTATGAATACAAACTGTGAAAGCATGGCCTATCGATCCTTTAGTCTTTAGGAGTTTTAAGTCAGAGGTGTCAGAAACGTTGGCAAAGGGACAACTGGCTTGTTGCAGCATTACAAGGCTTGTTACAAGGTCGGCTCTTCCTATTATTGCAAATTAGAATTCGCCAAGTGTTGGATTGTTCAGTCACTAATAGGAAACGTGAGTTGGGTTTAGACCGTCGTGAGGCAGGTTAGTTTTACCCTACTGATGAAGTATTGTTGCAATAGTAGTTCTGCCCAGTACAGCAGATTCAGACAATTAGTATTTGCATTTGGCTGAAAAACTACCATCTGTTGGAATATGACTGAATGCCTGTAAGTCAAATTCCGTGCTAGAACGCAACTATAATTAGCTCTAGACAATTTTAGGCGAACAACGATAGGGGCCACGTTTGTGCGTGGTGAAAAGGCACTAAAATATATCAAAGTTTACAATTTCTGCAGTAGCTTTGTTGTTACAATTTTCTGCGGTTAAGTTTTGTTTTTCAGCCAACAGAACATACTCCTCCTTGAGAACACCTATCATTTCTGGGTCTACCTTTGTCCTTTCGGGCGTCGTGAACCAGGTCCGGATCTGTTGTTCTCTTGGTCGATAACTTCTTTACCTTTTTATATTATCACTACGTCAATTTCCAGCATACACTCATGTCATTCAGGGTTAGGGTTAAAAAGGGTTAATACTATAACCGTGCTGAAAATGAAAGCAAATGATCGGAATTTGGATGTTGCATCCCGACAGCACTATCATACGCAAACCATTGGAGTCATTGGGCAATGTTTTACAGCATTCCCATATTTAACACTAACCCTAAACCCAGCTCTTCTTCAGGAACAAAGACTTTTTTGTATACTTTATTCATTTAGATTTAGATAGATTTAGATAGATTTTTATTGAAAATTTTAGCGCAGCCCTTGGGCTGAATTACGTAATTTTAATTACTTAAAAGTACTTAAAAGTACAAACAATAAAAAATATAATTATAATAATAATGATAATAATTAAAAAACAATAAATATAATAATAATAAGAAGAAGAATGACGATGCACTTGTATATTTTTCGCTACTCGCTATCTATCACAGGATAGATAGTGAGTAAGTTAGCCAATCAGATTACAGNTTAAAAGTACAAACAATAAAAAATATAATTATAATAATAATGATAATAATTAAAAAACAATAAATATAATAATAATAAGAAGAAGAATGATGATTATAATATATATAGTAGCAATATAAAAACTAAAATTGTAGCAATAATAATTCTAAAAATTTAGGGATAAAAGCTAATAAATATAAGTATAAAAAATTATCCTTTTCGCCATTATCGTCATTATCATTACAGTTATCTTTATAAAAAAACGTCATGTAAGGACGCCTTTAGCAGCCGTTTTCATCATCGTTTGTTTTTCGCTACTCGCTATCTATCACAGTATAGATAGTGAGTAAGTTAGCCAATCAGATTACAGGATTCGTGATAGTATGCTATTAGTTTTATGCTAATTCTCATTAGCATCCATTGTGAACGGCACCAAAATAGCTGCTTAATCAGTTGGTCTTTTGACTCTCTTTGTAATGCTTGCAACCATCAATATGCAGTGAATACRTGTAAGGCCTAGGGCAAACGTCGAACTTTCCATGCACCGAACTTAATTACATCAAACAATGCCGCCTCATTTTTACTTGATATCCATTGTTTTTAATGAGTTCGGTGCATGGAAAGTTCGACGTTTGCCCTAGCCCTAATTTCTTTAATATGAAACTTACCGCAGTCGTACTTGTGGCCAAAGCAAAACATAGGACAAAGCAAGTGTTTATTAGTTTCATGTTGTCGACCTGGAAAATAAATAGTCAAATAGTGAATCCATAAAACTTAAAGAATATGACATTTGCTGAAATCCAATGATATCTCGTGTACGGAACTCGTACAGATTATTGTTTATCTTATGCATATGACCAGGACAGAGAGGCAAATCGTTGATTGCTGTTCCATTCCTGACGTCACATTCCCTCTCTCTGATTTTCTAAATGGCGCCGAATTTGAAGACGCATGGTGACGGATAAAAAAATCTAAATATTCTTATAAAGACAATGTTTTGTTTTAGCAATCAAGACAAATTCTAGTTATGGTAAAATATGTTCTACGAGTTATTCTACGGATACCCGTAGAATACGTATCAAAAACCCGTGAAACAAAGTGTAATAACTAAGGTGTGATAAATTGTAATACACCGAAAACACAAAAGAAAAGCAAAAGAAAATGCGGACAATAAAGCGTATTAAAGTGTAATACGCTAAAGTATAGTTCACGGGTTTTTAAAAACCATTCTAACATCAATAAACAACCCCATAATAGGTTTAATAAAGACGATATCAAGCATTATCCATGGGCAAGAGAATATGAAGTAAGAGAGCATATCCCTGTGACCCATGAAAGTTTCTTGAAAATCTATTTTTAGCTACGCGCGCTAAGCCTGAGCTATTTTAGCATGCGATTCCTGATTGGTCAGATTGTAGTGATGTCATGGGAACACAAGAGATCGGCAGTGACAATGCAAGCTTCGTACAGTTTATTCAATTTGACGAGAAAATGTGTTTAGAGGAATTCCTTGAGAAATTCTGAAAGGTTTTTGAAGGAATCCATAAACAGCATATGTAAAAAATACTCAACTGAGACAATATCATTGTAATCTCCAAAATATTTAATAATTCATTTGCAAATCAGAGGGCACAAATAAAGTTCTATTCTATTCTATTCTATTCTAAATCAAAACAATGGTCGCTTGATTGAGACTCATTTATTTTGGAGTTGATTGCAGTTATAGATGAGACTCGGTAAGTTATTCCAGAATTCTACCTAAACTGAAATACAGTTAATATTGCTGTATCCCAAGAACACGTACTTCTGACCTGAACTTCAGTGTTTTCAAAATGACAAGTTATCTAATGGACATCTAAAATGAAGGTAGATTGGACTCGTTTACGAAAGAGCCGGATTTTCGATGAACAAACTTGTTGAATTCACTGAGTCAAAAGTTAAAAAACTTTAAACTTGAGAGAAAATTTAGCACTTACTGTTGGAATCAGTTGTTTACCAGTGAAAAGAAGAGGTTTCAAGATAGCTGAAAACAGTCAAGTTGCTTGGAATGTAAGAATTAAACATAAAGGCACAAATACGCCGAACTGAGAGCATCTGGCGGAAAAAATCGCAAGTGAAATGCCCTTCAATCAGGTTAAAATAATCTCTTTTTTATTAGTTTGAATCCTCAAATACTAAGTTTGATTCACTTTTTGTACTTGGCCGATATCGTAATTGTATTTCTCTTGTCTGTTTGGGACTTTAAAATTTGAAAAGTTAGGAAAAAAGTGTATGAATAAATTGCAAATTTGAAAGCAAGTTCTAGTTTTAATAGTCAAACATTTTCATTAATTCACCTTTTCTCAATGGGCAATGTTTTTTTCATAAACTGACATATCGTATTTTGGCAAGCTAAACATATTAAATAATTGTGAAAAATCATTTCAGATTTCAGTGCCTCTTGTAGTTTTTTCCTCTGTGAAAACATTTTTTCTTCGGCAAATTTCGGTGCAAGTTTCTTTTGATCCGTGTGTGAAACAAAATACTGGCCTTGCTCATCGTCTTCTTAATCACTTTAACTTAAACTTTATTTACTATAGAAAACACTACGATAAATTGCTTTTTGGCTGTCTTCACTGTAGGTTTTTTGCTATTTTCATCGCATTTGTTTATCGCGGTTTCCTTCCCCATGGCGCCTTCGCTGTTTTCAGCKTGTTCGTATACTGAAAATCATCCTGATTTGATTTTTTCGATGTTCTGTTACATCAATTGTTAATTCGTCCATGAAGAACACATGATACTTTAATTATTTCAACTTTTTAATTATTTTGAAGGCATTTTGAAGGGAACTAAACATTTTTCGCTCCCATGGAAGTCACTATAACTCTGAGCAATCAGGAATCGCATTCTAAAAATAACTCAGCCATGCGCGCGGAGCTAAAAATAGATTTTCAAGAAACTTTCATGGTTACAGACCCATGTATAGGAGATGTGCTCTCTTACTTAATATTCTCTTACAATGGGATATTACTAAAGCAGGGAATGGGAAATGGGGAATGGGGAATGACTGGGACGAGCGATCAGCGGTATTACCCTTAAAAAGTGTCATGGCGCTTGCATTTGCAATCTTGCTCTTTCCATCATGAAAAAATTGCCAAATATTCCACGGCAGTGGTTTATAAACGTACTAAAAATGTTCGATAAAAAAGAGAGTGATAATAGGTAAGTATTACTCTTAGTATCTAGATTCACATTCAGCTAATTCATGACTGTTCTTTTCGCGACTAATATTGATTTTCCGTCTGTAAATTAAGTAATAACCCTAAACTCAATAAAATATTATTAGCTTATATGATGGGGTTTGAGAGACGAAAAACACCGTGGCTGCAGTGTTGTGCTAAATGGGCGCCTATCACAAATGACTTCAAAGCAACATATAATGTAAAATTAGAAATAAAAATCCAATCCTCTGGTTATTATATGATTTAAATAACAGMTTATGGGGATACGACTTTTATAATCGTTCATGTTAGGGCCATGGATATTGCTCTTTACTGATAAGTTTAAAGAATGAAATAGTATGTTAGATATTTAGAAAAAAATATAATATAGCTAAATTCTAACGCGCGCGGTGATTGGCTGAATCCATCAAAAAACCTTTGGTTTATTACGTCGGTAAACCCTCTCTTTACGCACACCAAAAATTGCCTAGCTTTGACATAGATTTGAAGAGCAATTTCCTGAAAATGACGAGGAATTTCTGAACATTTGCTACGAAGTAGAAAAAGAACACAAATCTTTGAAAAGTGAAGACGAAGTGATGACGAACTTGTGGAGAGCACTCAGGCCAAGCAAATCAAGAAAGATACTGTTTTTCAAGGTTAGATATGACAAATCGAATGTTAAGTTCATTGATAAAATTTTTGTCTGTCATGGAAATAAATAACAAAGAAATATTAAAAAAAACAAAAGCAATGACAAAGTTGCAAATCTAGGTTGGCTAATCTGCAGTTTAGTGATATTTTTTATAACTTTTTGATTAAAACAAATGCTAACCAAAATAATTATTACAAATAGCTAGTTTATCAGAATGATAAGTAACGTGAAATGAATTGTTAATTTTCATAACATAATGGGCCGATGGCCATTTTCCAGTATCCCAAAAGTAAATGTCAACTGATCCTGTTTGGTAAAAACATCGTCCAATGACAGCAAATAAGCTGGCTAAAATAGTGAGAATAGTGATTTAAGAGGGGCTGTCAGCAAAAACCAAACCAATTCAGATATCGGCGGCAAGAGTTGTAAATTAAATTTTGCTCAACCTTTGCCTAAATATAGTCTATAATATAACATGAAACCTAAAATGTTTAGCCTGCGTGCAGCCGACCTCTAACTGACTGTTAAGTCCGTCTGCGAACCAGCGACAGCTTTCTTGTTCCGTTACCCCCAGCAGCGTACCTGGATTTCAGTACGCGTTCTGATTGGCTCTTACTTATAAGTTTGCTGATTGGCTATAATTTTCAGTCTCTACTCAAATTTCAGGCTAGTTTGTTTATATGATTTTACGTGTGTTGGTTCTAATTTGTATTTTATGTCATCGAGAGTTATCAAAGCACTATTGTTTGTTATCTTGAAGAAGGAAAGTCAAAGTTAAACGTGAAGTGTGAGTTCGAGATTTATTTTCAATCGACAGAGCGAGTATATATGCAAGTCGCGCTTTCAAACCTTGTCGAAGAGACGAAGTTTAATCCAACTGCAACACAAACTTGAAACCGAATTGCGTGACATACATAAGAAGAATACGTTGCCTGTTGAGACAACAAATGAGCGAAAGAGAGGATCAGCAGAGGATATGAAGTGTGTAACCCCTAAAAAACGTCGTATCGAAGGGACTAGCGAAGATAATACATCATGTGTTCCCACATGCACAAGACCAATTCCCGCTGCTCCTCCTTATTCACCAATTCACAAAGAAGCCCGCCTGTTAAGTCAATACGTACAGATCTGTCCGTTAAGGTGAAATGAACATGCAAAGAAAAGCTAAGGAGAGAATGCTACCAGAAGACTAAGAATATCTGGGCAAGATGCTGGTTCGCGGAACCTATAAACAGATCGCTAATGTAGCTTGGAAATGTCCCTCTCTTATCTTAAGAAAGAACTAACAGCTCTCAATGAAAAGAACATAGAGAAGGGGGCAGCACAGTTGTGTTCAAACTGAGATTCGACAGCTGAAAAAGCTTCATTCCACAAGAGTAGTATACAGAATGTAGGTTCTGCGTCGAGCGGATAAGGGCGGATCGCGGATCAGCCCTTGCAATGACGTCACCCCTATAAAATGACGTCATAGGATTTGAAAACCAATCAGAAGGCGTTCCGGTAACGATAAGCAACACTGGATCGATCTGCCAGACCCCCCTTCCGGATAGATGAAAAAAAGGAAAAAGGGGGTTAGGCGAATGCGAAAATGTATACATTTTTCGAGCAAAACATGGAAGTGAGGCAAGAGTGCAGTGAAGCGAAAACTGCTTGTCAAGCAGAAATGTCAATCTTTGTTTGCTAAGCGATGTATAAATTATTTTGTTTAACAGAGAATAAATGTTCCATAGAAAGCGATAGAGGTAATTTAAAAGCAAAACCTTAACTTTCTTGTTCTTTTGTTTCTTTATAATAAAGACAACACAAGGTAAAATACGTTCTTTGTCCTTTATTCTATAGCGTATAAACCAATAATTGTACAAAGTGAATATTGGAAGCTAAT